CGTACTTGAGCTAAATGTAATCTAAGTATGGAAATATTTAATGAGTCATGAACACTCGGTTTTATTTCTTTTTTTGTATTTTGTCATCACAAAGTATGATAAGTATGGTAAGTATAGATTCTTATTTTTACAATTAATCGAGATACAATTATTCATACAAAAGTTCTTTTTTTAGAAAACTCATTTTACATATCCATTAATAAAAATAAGGATTGTATACAGATATTGTTAAAAGATACCGAATATGAACCAAATCTGTTTTCCCATTTTCTCACGCGGTGTTTAGTGTTTCACATTTTAAGAGGAGCATTTAAAATCAAAATCAAAAACATTTTTCCTCCATGAATTCATTATTTGCATTACGAATAAAATTGTAGGGGTGAGTGAAACATAAAATTCAAAATCAATGGCAGTTAGCGTTGATTGACAAAATAAACTACATAAATAATCCAGAATGTCGCATTTGTTTGCATTAGTGTTTTATAATAGAAAATTCATTATTAAGATTCTAAGATTACTAAGACATAAAAGGCAATAATTTACTGTTAGTTTTAAATTCGAACAAAGGTAAACTTTTTAAGAGTATCACCGTGTTACAAAAATTTTATTGTCTTGACTGTAAATCAAATATATGATTTAATTAAAACTTGAATACGGTATGAAATTTAAATATTACACCCGCTCTAAGAAATCACGCGCTATTATAATGTGTAATCATATTAAAATAAATCATTAACTTAATAGGATATTAAAATATAATATCAAATAATTATTAATTATTAAATTATCAAAGGCTTATGAATAATAAATAAATGCTTTATTGTATCGACATTTGTTTTTCTAGCCAATATACCTCCAATTAGGATGTGAATCGCACAAAATATCGTCGAATCTCGGTTCATGTTCCACTAATTTTGCAGCCTTTTCTCTAATAAACTTAGTATCTTTTATTTCACTTTCACTTAATTGAACCTTATTATTGGATAATATGGCCAAATCACGTCTTTTATTCTCATATTCCAAATGAAATTTCATCCCAAAAGCTAAAACAAATTGAGCAATCAACGCACTCAAGGACACTGTCAACCCGTCATTAAATGCAGGAGCCATGGTTCGTTGGAAGAGTAGAATTCCAAGCACGCCCCCAACATTACCGATTGTAAGAGCTGCTGCAATCGCTACGTTGCGTTTATATTGACCAACTAATTTAGAAATTAAAATATAGTAAAAAAATTGGAATTTTTTTTAAATCCTTTTATACCATTTAAATAAAGGTTACTTACCAATATTGCAAGTAAGCCAACTATAAACTATCGTTTGTTGTGTATATACACCACATGCCACAAGTGTTGTGAAAAAGTAACGTAATTTGTATAAACTTGGATCAATAGCAGATGTTGCTACCATTCCTGCACATCCTGTGATGCCAATGATATCGGCAACCATAATAGGTACAGCTCTGGCTTGATATTTATCAGCTAACCAAGACATTATCAGCATTACAACAGTTGCTATTACGAATGGTGGTACGCTCATTAATTGAGTGTCCACAGGATTAAAACCAAGTTGGCCTACTAAAGTTGGAAGGAAATAATTAAGGGCATTAAATGGAATTGCACCCAAAGTTGTAGCAAATATATAAGCGTAAACTCTGGGATCAAGAAACGCGCATATAGTTTGAGATTTAATGAAACTACGATCTTCTTCGTCAACACCACCTTCTGGTTTTAGACGATCAATGGTGTAAAGACGTTCTTCAGGAGTGAGAAAACGAGTATTGGCAGGACCTTTAGTGAAAAATGCAGCGACAACTGCAGCAAGAATAATAGTTGGAATGCCCTCAATTATAAATATCATTTGGAAACTTGTTAATGAGGCTCCTCGTATTTGAACTATTCCATATGCCTGGATTAAGTTTAAATAAATAGCTATATTAGTAAATATTGGAGAATTTAAAAATTGTAACATGTTATCACAATAGGTAAAATAGAAACTTACAAAATACTCAACGATTGCTTCGACAATCTTCTACTGATGAAATTTATCATTTACCTACAGCAATTAAAATTATTGA